GGAGTCCGGCGTGTTAAGGTGGGCCTCCCTCGTGCCGTCCGTCCTCCCTCGTGCCGTCCGTCCTTCCTCGTGCCGTCTGTCCTTCCTCGTGCCATCCGTCCTCCCTCGTGCCATCCGTCCTCCCTCGTGCCGTCCGTCCTCCCTCGTGCCGTCCGTCCTTCCTCGTGCCATCCGTCCTTCCTCGCTCCCCTGAGAGAGGACTCAGCTGCAGCTCTGCGATACCCCCCCAGGCTCAGCCCACCGCCCAGCGCCGAGCACGGCCCTCGTTCGCCTCCTGCTCGAGGCTGCGGCTGAGGACACGTGTTCAGCTCCTTTGACAGTCTGGTTTTGTTCCTGAAGGCGTGTTGGTGGACACATGGCCAGCTGCAAGGGAACGTGTTGCACACGCAGAGGCCAGCATCACGCTTGGCCCTACCTGTCCCTCTTTGTTTTCAGAGAGACAAAAGAGAAAACGGGTCCTGGAGACTGGCAGGTGAGGAAGAGCTGGTGGTACCGGAGGGAACCTGCATGGGGAATAGTATTAAAAGGAGAATATTAATCTGTCCCGGTGCAATCTGCAGAGGGGAGCAAGGGGAAGGCATAAGCATGGACTGACACCCCTGGGCAGGTTCACAGCACGTTGACCTCGTTTCCTGATGCCCACTTCTGCAGGAGGTACAGCCCGGGATCCGTGTGCAGCCCTGGGACATGGAGGTTCTCCTGGTGCCGCTTTCCATTTCAGCTAAATACCGAAGGAGGAAGCAAACAGCCAAGACCAGCTGCGTGGAGATCAGCCCTTTGATTTGCTGCAGATGACTTGCTTATCACAGCTTATCGCAGCCGTGGGATTTTTGTTTTTCCCATGCTTTTTTGCAGAGGTTGGCTCATAAAGGCATGAAGCTGGTCTTGCTTCAGCTCTGTTTGTGGTAGAGGCTCCTTGGCCGGGGACCCGGGCGCAGTGAGAACGTGATCCGTGAGGAAGAGGGATTGCTTCCAAGTCGGATGCAGCAGGTTCAGGGCTGTGGAAAACACCTGCCAAAGCCCGGTCCATTCCCATGTTTTGTGGTTTCCTTGCCTGTGATACCAAAAGCAAGCCATGAAAGGAAGCTGTTGTTCGTATGGGCTCCAAAAGGTCTCTTTACCGGGGGGATAAGGAGCATTTTTAGCACTTGGTAAGCCGGAGAAGCTCTCTGTTCTTAACCCCTGTGGCGCTGCTTCCCTGGCGAGCTCTGCAGTCTGGCAGGGTTTAAGGAGAGGAGTTGCACACGTGTGTATCTGTCTACCCAGGCTGAATCGGACGGCGTTTGCAGAGTCTGCCTGCACCTCCTAGCCTGACCATGCTCGAAATAGTGTCTTTCTGGTGGCAACAGGTCGGATACGGCATTCTTGAAGTTTAGGTTTCTAACGTGGTGATGGAGAAGATGCTTTCCTGGGTGCAAATTGGACGGTGCGGCTGAGCCAGCGAGCGGGTCACTGCTCTGTTCCCTCTTTTTCCTTCTTCTACATTCATAAGCACAGGCTTCTGCCGTGTTTCCCTGTGCTCCAGCGCTTCTCTGACCCTCCCGTGGAGGTAACAGCCAGGTTGTTTTTGGACAGAAGGGTGAACTTTTAGAAAACTCACCTAGTGAAAGAAGTGACTTGTTTCACGCAGGAGCGGGGGGGCTGAACGGGCTCAGCACAGGACGGTTTGTGCTGCAGAGCTGTCACAAGGGACGAAGCAGAAGGATGGGAATGGCAGCGGAGAAGGTCCACGCGTCCCCATTTCGCAGCAGGGAGCCGCGAGGTTCTCTCCTTTGTGTCCCCCGAATATGGTCGTGGTGGGCAGGAGCAGAGCAGCAGCTTGGGAAGTCTGTACCCGTCACTGGTAACTGAGAAGCTGCTGCTTCTCAGGGCTGGGAGACTGGTGCCGGGGGGCTGGGAGACTGGTGCTGGGGGCCTGGGAGACTGGTGCCAGGGGCTGGTGTCCCATGGGGGTGAGTTGGCTGGAGGTGCCTCGATAGGCGAGGTGCTTGCTCCTGTAATAAGGTTGTCTGATCGGATCTTGCGAGATCCCAGTCCAGGGGCGATGTGACTTGCAAATCAGGGAGTGGGTGTCATTTGCAAATTCCCTGCAGCAGGGCAGGGTGCTGTTGGGATGTGAAATGTGACTCGTGTGAAGGTAGAAAATGAGCCTTCCATCCCCCGCCTCCCATCAGCTTGCCTTCCTTCCCTCCTGCAGTCCCCCGCAGTAATTGTCTGCTCTGTTACAGGTCGTGGTTTCAGCCTGTCATTTTTCCCTGTAAATTACTGGCTTTGAAGGCAGAGTTCAGATCAAGATCAGATGTGGGTTTCAAGGCCAGTAGCTGTTCTGGAGCGATCTCATGGTGAACGCTTGTTCATTTTCCTAGAGTAAGGGAGCCTGTTCTGGTTTAGTTGGATCCATTATCAAGGAGATTAAATAATATCAAGGCAGCATCCTTTTATCTCAGGCTGAGAGTCTGTGTCTGCTCTTCAGAAATAGCTTTTCCAGAGGAGCTGGGCACAGCCTGGGCGTGCGTGCTGGCGTGCAACAGTCAGCACTGTTTGCATCACCTCCGCAGTTGTGTCTGGGAGATGAAAACAGCTTTTTGCTAATGGCTCTCATGTCAACAGGGGTGATTTAGCAAGGAAGACTGCAGTGCATTAGTTGCCATGAGTCAGGCTCGCTCAGCCTTGCACTGAGCATGTACTGGTTTGTAAATTAAACTGCAGATGCTGCGTCCCGGCAGTGCTGGCATGCCGAGGCTCCTGAAAGGGGTTCTTCCCGTAGAGTTGTCTCAGAAATCTTTAAATTCCTGTCTCAGGAGTCAGGGCATGCAGGTCGTAGCCCCAGCTCTTACAGCGATGACCCCAGCCAAGCTGCCCTGATGCCTGTCAGAGTCACAGCGTGACTCGGAAGAGGTATCGAGGCTCTCGTGGCATCTGCCAAAAACTCACCAGCGGTCTGTGCCTGGTGGTGTGGCATCCTGCATCCTCATTTTCTGAGTGGGGAGCAAGTCCCTCAAGTTTCTCATAGGCAATAAAACATGGTCTGCAAGATCGTGGTGAGCATGGTGGGGAAATAGGTGCTGGCTGCTCCTGTGCTGGAAGGGTCTGTGGGGAGGAGAGGGGCAGCAGGGAGCGGCGTGGGCCAGGGCAGGGATTTGTGGATCTGGATCTGTGCTGGTCCCAGTTGATCTGCATTGAAAAGTTATTTAGAAATGAAAAAGATTTTTTTCTTCTCTCCATTATCCCGGAGCGCCGAGAGACAGCTGGGCTGGTTTTGTCTCAGGGCTCTTCCCCCAAAACGAAGCGCGTGCCCCTGCGCTGTCCTGGAGTGAAGTGGTTTGTCTCGGGTGCTTTTGAGGCTCAGCCCCAGCCTGCTCGAGAGTGGGGACTCCACTGGGGCGTCTGTGGTGGGTGATACAGCGGAGAGGTTTATCTGTGTGGGGCAGGGGCTTCAGCTTGCCCTGGGCAGGTGGTGTTGGAGCCACGGGAGCTATTTAGGAAGAGCCCCAGGTGCAAGATAATTCAAATCTAAGGCTAAACTGTATCAGATGGTGTCCAGACACCTTGTGTTTCCTATTGCTAAAGGCACACAGGGCAGTTAGAGCAGCTCAGCTCCTGCTGGTGTGTCTGCATGAAAGGTTCCCGTCTGGGAGAGCGAAGCCAGGAAGGATTTTCTGTGCTGAAGATACTGATATTACAGCAACTGTGGACGTTTCAGGTTCAACGCTGGTAAAATGCTGAGACACTGCTGCTGGGATCCCTTGCCTCACCTGCGTAGAGACCAATTTGGGGTGGTTTCCTACCTGCAGGTCATCTCTGTAGCTGGGTGTGAGCTTTTTAATGAAAGTCAGAAGTTCATATATATTTTTTTTTTTTTTTTTTTAATGTAGCTTTTCAGTGGCTGAGTGAGCCCTGCTCATTTCCGTTCTCAGTGGTGGTTGGTTTCCGTGGCGGAGGCAGAACGACGGCAGGATGTGTGAAGGGCCATCCAGGATTTCTGGACCCATTCCTCCAGACCCTACGCTCTTTCCAAACTATTACAAACGCCCCTTCTCAGGTGAGTCCTTGTGATGCTTGTTACGGATGCGCAGTTTCCGTAACACACTGGTGCAGGTGCTTGTGCTGCCTCATGGATGGTGATCCTAAGGGTGGTCTGTACAGGTGGTTGAAAGATGGGGAAGCATAAGGTAGAGGTGGAGAGGGGGTCTTCAGCATTGTTTGTAGGCTGTGGGTGAAGAAAGCCACGAGGCGAGATTGGGTTTTGATAATCTCCTTTCTTTCTCTGTAGCTCGAGGGAGGCTGGAAGGGAATGCTCAGAAGCTGGATTTCACCTCTGGCCCCCTGGACCCAGTGCCCAACCCATACCCTGCTTTGGGCAGTGCCCGCCAGGCCCAGCCAGCCCCTCGCATTCGCCCCAGTGGAAGGGACTTCCTGGAGAAGGGACGGACGGGGACGCTCGGTCTCTTACTGCGGCTCGAAGGGATCTCCCTTGACGGGAGGCTGCCAGTCAAGAGTAAGTACAGCTGAGCTGCTGCTGGCCTGAGCTGCGTTGGGGCCAGGGGTGAAGCGTCAGGGATTTGGGGGGGTTCCTCAGCTCATGCTGCCTGATGGGTTGCCCCATCGCCCGTATTTGGCCTGGCAGTGGGATCCCTGGGCCATCGCCCAGGCTGGAGCCAGTGCTGCTGCAGCCTCCCTGACTCCAGTCTGGCCCAGGCCTGGAATGGGAAGAGGGATTGTAAAAAAAGATTCTGTTTAATTTGGACTTGAGGAACTAGTCCTCAAGTTCATGAGAGACTGTTGAGAGATGCTGGAACTAAATCAAGCCCTTCTAGTTTGCTGCCTCTGCGTGTAACCAGTGTCTTTATAGTCAGACTTAAAGATGAATCACGTGAAATCTTAATGTGTAGAGGATATTTAGCCTGGGAGGTAGTTGTTAGTGAAGCCAGGCAGGATTTGGGAAGACCGTATGTGGATACTGAGAACGTCTTTGTGAAAGGTGCTCCCTTCTCCAGGGAGGTCACCCAGGGAACACATTCAGAGGTGCAGGAAGGAGATAAAACTGAGCACCGGGTGTTGCTTGATTTACTTGGTGTGCTGGCATTGCCCCTGGCCCTGCCTGGTGCCAGCGTGGTGGATGCCAGCTGGTGGCTGCCACAACTGCACGGGGAATGGAAGAGGGTTGGGTTGTGTCAGCTGGGATCTTCCCTGTCTTGAAGAGCCAAAGGAAGGATCGTTTTTGATTAGAAAACAAAAAATACCATTTGTAGTCTTAATTATGTCCTCTTAATCATGTCCCTTCTGTCCTCTGGCAGAAGAGGGTCGATCTGGGAGTGTGCATCTGACATGGGAAAAATGCACAGATTGTCAGTCTGCAGGAGAGGGGAGGGCTCGCTGTATCAACGGGCAGTTGGACCAGCTTTGAAGACGGAGCTGTGGGCTCTGGTGCCAGCGCTCCGAGAAGCTGTGTCCCTTGGCAGTGGCTGAGCGGTGATGGCCGTGTCTCCCCTTGCTGCGCAGGGAAGGAGTCCAAGGACCACGAGAAGGAAAACGTGAGGCGAATAAAGGAGATTCAGAAGAAGTGCAAAGAGAAGGAGCAAGCCCAAGAGCACAGCCAGCCCAAGCCTGTGAAAGCTCTCTGGAAATCCCAGAAGTATGAAAACGTGGAGTCAAAGGTGAAGGCCAAGCTGCAGGTCGGTACCCACTGAGCTTGTAAACTCTCTTGGCCTGGGATGTGGATCAGCCACGAGGTTCTGTGGGATGGTGGAGATGGGGGAGTCCCAGAACCTACGGGTCTGGGGCAACTTGGTGCTGAAGCACAATGGGCAGATGAGACAGTGGGGCTCTGCGCTGAGCGAGAACGTTTGGCCTGGGTCTGGAGAGCGATTGCTGTGGTAATCCCCATCGTGTCTGACCAAGTAGAGTCCCCGTGCAGGGGAAGCTCAGAAGAAGAAAACCTCAGCACACCATCTCCCTAGGGGGCTCCTACTTGGCCCTTCAGCTGTTAAGGACCTAAAGGTGGTTCCTGGGGGGTGCAGAGCAGCCCTCACAGCCCTGTTCCCTGTCCAGAGGTGCACCCAGCTGGCTCTCAGCTTCCCAGTGTTTGGGGCAACACTTGTGGGGTTTGTGCCAAAACGCTGTGGTGTTCTGCCCCATGGATCATGGTCCTCCGAGGTGGGTGTTCAGGCTCGGTCCAGCTGTTAACCACCCTGTGGACCCACCGCGGGCTGTACATCTCCACATTCTTCTCCGAGCGATTGTCCTGTTGAATAACCACTGCGCAGTGGGGGCACGCAGACATCTCCAGGTGGGGATCTCGTAGCTCCAGTGCAACCTAAAAGGGCGTATGAGCCTCCTGTCCTCTCCACGTGCTGGTGGGAGAAGGGGTGCAGGGCTGTGCCTTTTATCCTCAGGCTTTCTCAGCTGCTGAAGCATTCTTGGTTTCTGTTCCGAGCGGGTGTCTGGCTTTGTGAAGGTTTTGGATTGCTTTTGACTTCTTTCTTTTTCTTTCTCTGGGTAATTTTTTCTCCCCTGGTGGGTTCGTGGTGTTTAAAGGGTGCCTCTGTCGGAAAGCTTTGTAGAACGCACCGAAGTGGCTGCCTTGATAGAAGCATACCTGTTTGTGCAGAAAGCAAAGTTAAGGCCCACTGGGAGAGGAAGGGAGAGCTCCATCACTGTCTTTGGGTGGATCTGTCATCCGTCTGGATCTGAGAGACCTTGAACTGTGTTCAGTTAACCTCTTCCTTCATCCAGAAGCAGGCTCCCTGGGATGGGGTGGGTTCCCGCTGCGCGGCAGCAAGCGGAGGGGAGGTGGTGTGCTCACCCTCATCATGGTGACCTCCTGGAGGAGAAGCCCTGGGGCTCCTTCCAGCTCAGCCATGCATGGGAGAAGCTTCTTGAGCAAGGGGAAGCGCGGGGCTGCTGCCTTGGCCGAGAAGCCACTGGCTCTCCGGAGTAGCCTCTCACCGTTGGATCCTGCGTTCCCATCAGCCCCAGGATTGTCAGCTGCCAGGAGAGGGCTTTGTCCTTCTGAATCCCTTGGAGCCTTCACGGTCCATCTCTGTTCTGTCTTTGCAGCCACCCAGGCTGTGCAGACCAGAGCGACAGAGCGAGCTGCTGCTTGTGCAGATGGTGGGTGCAAGCTGGGTGACACCTCGAGCACTGCCACTTCTGCAGCCTTCCCTCGGTGCTCCCTTCCTGAGTTGGAGCCTTCAAGTTCCTCCTCATCTCTGCATTGCTTCCCTCTGGTCTGTGGCCCTCGGGCCAACTTTTGACGCTAAAATCATGTGTGTGGATGGCAACTGCAAAACTTGGCAAGATGATTTTTAAGGCAGTGGTTCCAAATGCTCTGTCCCTTCTTCCCGGCGTGCCACCAACCTCTCTGATGTCCGTGACCCTTCCACACACGGGAGCAAACCCATGTGTGCTTTAGGAACACAAGCCTACGCTCTCGTTTGACAAATCCTCTGCGTTAGGGAAGATTGAGATCATTTCTTCTTTTGTTTTGGGGAAAGGGGGTGGTCTCTGCGCAGGCAGTTTCTGCGTGATGCGTTGCATGTGCTCCGCGGATTCCTCCAGAGAGCGGTGGCAGGAGGCCCTGGCACTGACTCACGCTGCTTTAACTATTGCTGCTGCTCTCCTAGAGCTGGGGTGTTCCCCGTGAAGGATCTCCGTGTCCTGTGAAGCTGCTGCTTGGAGATTAAGTTGATTCCGTTGGGTCTTGGTGTCTAACACAGAGTTTCTTTTCTCTCACCTGTCCCCGAGGGCTGTTAATTGTAGCAGCTGCCTTGACAAGGGCTCTGGCAGCCTCGGGGCTCCCGTGGAGGACGATGGGGCACGCTGGGCTCTGCTAGCCTGCTCCTGAGATCACAGACTTTATCTGACTTCTAACCACCCGCCCTAGGGCAAGGCACTTCTCATTGACTTACCGGAGAGATCTGCATCTCCTGGTGCCTCTTGAAACAAGACCCATCGTCTTGGAAGCGTGAGCAGTCTGGGCAGTGCTGAGGGCATCACACACCCTGGTCCTTACACCAAAACTGCCAGTGTCGCCGTCCTATCCCACCTTCAGGTCTGCCAAGCTAAGTGGGATGGCGAGGAGGAATCTACCTCGAGGGGTCACCAGGATCTTGGGCACCTGCAGAGATCTGGAGGCTGCCCTGGACCGTTGCTGTCACTTCCAGAAGCAGAGCAGTGCCCTGGTTGTGTTTATTGCTCCTCTTTCTGCCTAGGGTGGGATAACCTCAGATGTGGGGTGCCGAGCAGAGCAGCGCTTGAGAGCAGCATCCAGTTTGTGTCAGGTTCGTGCCTACCTGTGCTGTTTCGTTACATCCTGCTGTAGCAGGGCTCTGCAGCACCCTCTGCGTTTATGGAGGTGGGGCGGCTTCTTCTGGGAGGTCAGGTTCTCTCGTGCCGACTGGCACGTGTCTCTCGACTTTCAGAACGCTCACTCCACGCTGCCTTTGGCCCTTTTCGCGGAAAGATTTCTGCTTTTTCAAGAGTTGTGATCATTGTCAGGTTGGACTGTCCATCTGTTTAGATTGTCCTGGCTCTGGTAGGTATCTCTGTTGGGTTGTCTGGTGTTGCTCTCCTTTCGTGCCTACTGGATTAGGCAGTAAAGAGGGACTCTCCAGTCAATGCTACGCATGCATTTGCTCCAAATGTGTGTTTCTGCACATTTTTTCCTTTTTTTTTTTTTTCAGTGTTTATTTACGAAGTTTAGTTGCCAGGTCCAGATTTGTTGCTGTAGGCAGCCAGTTTGGGCTTTGCTGGCTGAGTACAGATTGCCTTCCCCCAAGAGCTTCTGCCAAGTCGTGGCAGAAAGAGCGTGCTCTCATCTGCCTGCTGGAAACTTGTGGTTGACCACCCAGGCTTTGTTGGGTGGGTTTCTCTTTGCTCCAGCTTCCCTTCACTAGTGTGTGTTTTCTCACCTTTCCCAGGAGAGCTCCCCACCTCCGAATCCAGAGGCTCTGAAATTCCTGAGGGCATATTCTCGCTGTGGCCCTGGGATCAAGCCATGCAGACCGCCCTCCCCAAGGCCTGCCAGAATGAAAGCAGGGGCAGATCCAGAGGCTCCAGAGGCACTGGATGCTGAAGCCAAGGTGAGTTGCACACTTAACTGCACACTCCCACTGGCACTCATCCGTCCCAGGGTTCTCTGGCATTTATCCATCGCTGCTGCTTCGAACTCTTCCTGTGTGCTTCTAAAGCATTGGGCCAGATGTGCTACGTGAACACGGAGGTCTGTAAATACTGTTCCTGGATGAAGGGAAGGGACAGGGCCTTGGTCACTGGAGTGGTGAGACGGGCACTGAAGGATTGCTAATACTGTGCTCCGGCTTCATCCTTGCTCGTAGTTAAAGGACTCATGAAGTTCCCTTTGGGAATCCCACTTCCTCACTGTAGAAGTGCCAGTGATCTCAAATCTGCCCTTCCTGGGGCTTTGCAGGAAGTCTTGAAGATTTGGAGACTGTTCCCACCTTAATCAAAGGAACTGTGGCTTCTGGGTGTTAGGCAAAAAATTGGGAAATGGGTGTGCGTTTTAATAGGGAGAGTTAAATCAGTGTGAACAACTAAACCTTTCAGGTAGTCTTGCCTGGGAGATCCTAAACTGCTCCATGACTCATGTCTTCTCTCTTTGGCTACTGTGGGGTTGTTGCTTCCACATGCCATGGAGTGACTTAATTTGAACAGGACTTAAACTCCTAAGGAGGAAAACCAAGAAAAGAAAACCTTAAACTCCAACCCAGTGACCTTCTCCCCTGTCTTGACCATCAGAGGAGCTGTGATAGAGGGTGCTGTCTCTGGGGAAATGCCCCCAAGGACTAGCTAAGTTCCAGCTCTGCCAGGGGCTCTGTTGCATTTACTGGTCTGGCAAGGGCCAGTTTTTGTGCTGACCTTCTACCTGCTGTGAGGGGCTCCAAACACAGCAGTTGGAGCCACGTGGGCTATGTCAAGCCTGGTTCTTCCTGTCCTTCTGGCTTTGAGGGCATGGGGTCAGCTTGGGGACCTCAAAAAGATGGGGTTTAGGTTTTGCCTGACTTTTGGTGCCAGGCAAACCATGGCACCCCAGGGGTTTCTGAGACTTATTCCGGCACTGGTTTCTTCTCAAAACATGGCCATAGCTCCTGCCTGTCTCTGACTACTGAGATGGGATGGGCAGAGGACATGCCTGTCCTACTGCACCACACCTGCCATTCAGTGTCCTGTGCAAGTGCCTCTGTGCTTTGTCCTTGTGGGGACAAGGGCAGCTGCCTACGGGCGTGCACCGAGCCAGCCCTTGCTGCCTCCCTCTCTCTTCCTCCAGATCCAGGTGGAGGGCAGGAGCATCGACTTCATCAAGCACAACGCCCGCAACGCCAAGCGGGCCCCGCTGCGGCGCTCCCAGTCCCTGCAGGCGCTGGCCGAGCTGCTGGACCAGAAGCACCGGGAGCAGGAGGAGTACAACGCCAAGCAAAAGGGCCACGTCCCCCAGTAGTACGTACGCCCCTCTCTGGTCCGTGGGACTTTCTGGAACAAGCCCACGTCCCCCAGCTTCTGCGTAGAAAGACGGGGAGGGTGGGACAGAGGTGCTCTCACCGCACGCAAGCAGCGTGATTTGCTGTGGCCTGGGGAATTAATGCAATCCCTTCTGGCTCCTGGGCTTCCCGAGCATCCCATGGCCAGTGCGACCGGCCTCAAGGAATGTTGCCTCCTCCCTCGCTTGCTGCTCTACGAGGACACTGACACAGGGACACTGCGTGCTCTGAGAAACGTGCTCCTGCCCCTCCGTGGGCCTTGCTCCACGTGCCGTAGGTTCAGGATGGGAAGGTTGGGTTTGCAGAGGCAGATGGCTTGCTCTGCTTCGCAAGCGTTCGTCCTGCCTTGGACCCGGGGTCGGCAACAGCCAGCTGGTGACTTGTGCTTTGGGGTTCCAGCAGGGTTCTGTGGCCTCCAGCCGCTCCTGGGTGACCTTGTCCTGGCACAGGACTGGCCGTGGGGTCAGTCCTTCGGCTCTGCTGTGCCTGCTGTTCCCTGCCAGCATCCCTGGCTGGGAGCCACCTTGTCCCGCCTCACTCCATCACTGGCCCACAGATGGTTTTGAGAGGACTCGGTGGCCCGGGCCAGAAGCAAGGAGCAGAAGCCCTTGTCTGCAAGGAGCTTGTGTTGGCCTCATTGTGCCTCTTCTCTCCACGGCGAGGGCCTGTGCTGGCAGGGCGGGTCTGTGGTCCTCCAGCAGCGACGTGGGGACTAGTGGGGTTTGAAGGGCTGGATTCCTGTCCTCTGCCTGCACCCCCGGGCGACCCCTCCTGCCCGATGTGCGGCCACGTGCCTTCCTTTGCCTTGCCAGCCTGCTGGAGAGGAAGGAGCTGTGGCGCAGACAGATGGAGGAGCGGCTGCAGAACCTGCCAGACCCTGACACGCCACCTGGTCATGCCATGATGCCAGAGGGCCAACGGCTGGAGACCCCCGGCAATCTGAAGCAGAGTAAGAGGAAAAGGAATGAGGGTTCCAGCTCAGAAAAACAGGCAGTCCAAGGAGAGGGGAGTTCTGGGGCACAGATCCAGCCACTTAGAGAGTTGCCTGGAGTAAGGCACGTAGCTGAGATGTTGCAGCACTTGAGCTGTGTGCGTGGAAAGAGCCATCTCCTTCAGGTTGGTGGGACCTGCAGGTTACGGGACAGGCTCTCTGGAGCAGACTTGTCCAGTGGACCTGATGTTAAGGTTACTATTGCTCTTAAAATGATGGAAGGGACCTTTAGAGGTCTCTAGTCCAACCCTTGGTTCTTCAAACTGGAGCAGGTCACTCAGGTCCTGCTAAGCTGTGAATCAAAGGATAGGACTTTTTGCAAGGGTGTGCAGTGACAGGACACGGGGCAATGGCTTTAAACTGAAAGAGGGGAGATTTCCATGAGATCTAAGGAAGAAATTCTTCCCTCTGAGGGTGGTGAGGCACTGGCACAGGTTGCCCAGAGAAGCTGTGGCTGCCCCATCCCTGGCAGTGTTCAAGGCCAGGTTGGATGGGGCTTTGGGCAACCTGGTGTAGTGGAGGGTGTCCCTGCCCATGGCAGGGGGGTTGGAACTGGATGATCTTGAAGGTCCCTTCCCACCCAAACCATTCTGTGATTCTATTCTAAGTCCTTGTTCCAGTACTGCCACCATTTTCATGACTGAGGATGAGGCTGTAGCATTAGGAAAAGGATGAATTTCTTTGCTCTTCCACTTATACTGTGCTTTTTTTTTTCAATTTTACAGGCCAGGAGCAGCTGACAAAGGACCTGGTGATGCTGCCAGTGCGCTCGGACACCCTCAGCATGCAGAAGAGGCGGTTAGAACTGGAGAGGAAGCTCTCTCAGATAGAGGAGGCCATCAAAATTTTCTCGAGGCCCAAGGTCTTCATCAAGCTGGACTCCTGAGCTGGTGGGGCTGGGTGTGTTGTGCTGCTCCGCGTGAACATCCTTCATCGCTGGGAGGGGACGATTATCACTTTGGGAGAGAAGGAGGGGAAGGCAAATTCAGGACCTTGGGCCCATGCAGGTGTTGATGCAGTGTCCAACGTGCCCCCAGCATCTCTTGCTCACCCTCCAGTGCTGTGTCTTGTCCACGGAAAAGGGAGGGAGATGCCCTCTCCCTCCTAATACACTCTCCACTGTGCTGTCTGGAGGACAGTTGTCTCTGCGCTGCTTGACTTCCCAGGCGTCAGCTCTCTGCTCTGGATCCGTGGCATCGCCTCTCGTTTGCCCATTTTTTTTTTTTTCCCACTTCTAGAAACTGGCAGGAGGTCTCCCATGCTGCTGCCCGGGGTGTTCCTTGTCCCCCTCTTTCTCCTGAGCTGGACCATGGTCTTGGCTCATTGTAGGCACCTGCAGGCTTGTCTGCACACAAACCTCGTGCTGCACGGCCACCGTGTGTGCCCCAGGCCCCAGCACTGACCCATCCCACCCACACAGCTGGTGTCTCTGCACCCTCTGACCTGCCGGCTGGGCTCAGCTCGGGGACAGCTTGGGGACAGCAAAGAGACACAGAGCTTCAGTCCTTCCTGCCCAGGGAAGAGCTGGGCTGGCTGCAGGGGGATCTGGCAGGATGTTTGGAGAAGCCTTTGTTGTCTGTGGGGCAGGACACGCTCCAGTAAAGCATCATTTGCTTCTTTTGGTGCGTGTGCAGCTCCTGGAGGGCAGCAGAATCCAGCAGCATTGATGTGCAGGCATGGGGAGAGCCATGGGTCCCGGTCCCATGTTCTACAGAAGCCTGAAGTGGTCAGAGGAGTTGGGTTTCACAGGGCTGGGGTGCTGGGTTGTGGTGATGGACTTGGGGTGGAGAACATACACAGAAGTCCTGCCCGATCTCGATCCACAGGCAGGCAGGACACAGCCGGGCAGGTGCCATCGTGGAGGTGAGCTCGCTGCCTCCTTACCTTCAGATGCCACACAGGGACCTGTGCAGACCTTTGCAGGGATCCTGCTGCGGGAAGCGTAGAAAGCTTTAGGCTAGAAGGGATCACTGGAGGGCTCAGTCCATCTCCTGCCCAGCACAGGCCCAGCTCCACAGCTCAAAGCCTTGTCCAGCTGAGTTGGGAAAACCTGCAAGGATGGGGTTGCCACCACCACCTTGCTGGGGCTCTGTCCCCGGGCTGGGCCACCCTCAGGGAGAGCATTTTTTTTTTTCCCTGAATCCCATCAAAACTTCCCTTGTTGCAGCTTGTGCCTGTTGCCCTGTCACCTTTCATGGGGTGAGGATGCTCCGCGCGGTTCCTCTGAGCAGATGCCATGTCGCACGGGATTACTCCGGCCCCGGGCAGGATTTTGCGGGGTGAGGATGTTGCAGAGTGGTCCAGCCCTGCCCGCAGCACCCGGCGCTCGGCGGGTTCCCTGGGACGTCCGGAGCTGATGCTGGGGAAGCTTTTAGCACTCGAGGGCCGGAGGAGGTGAGATCCCAATCGGAAAATCACCCCACGCTCCCCTGGGGCAAACGGCTGAGCCGGCTGGATGAGCGCGGTGCTGAGAGCAGCCGGGGGCCGTGGGCACCAGCCCCCGTGCCCCTCCCTGCCCCGAGCGAGTCTGGACTAACCAGCCCGGCCGCCTGCTTTTCTCCCTTGCCCGTCGCGGCCCCAGCTGCGTACCGTCACTGTCGCCACGCTCGGGAGCCCCGGGGCTGCCAGCAGCTCTCCCTGCCTGCCCCCGGCGGGGCTGGGGTTCCCGCCCCCA